TTGACTCATATTAGGTGATGATTTTTTTCCTTATCCTTTTAATTCTATCTTCTTTCTCCTTCACTCATGTGTCCTTCAACCCTTTTAGAATAGTAGAAATTTTTCACTTACTGTATAAATAAGGCCTTTCTTTATTTTCTTAAACTGGCTGTGATTTCTACTCTGCATGTTGAAGTGGTACGAGTATATATATAAAGGTCATGACCTTAGTATTCCCGTATGTTTGCAGAAATATAGGATTAGTGAATGCCAGGGAATGTAGATAAACTTTTATTGATTTCACTGTTCACATTTTCATTACAAGGGGGGGAAATCAGGCATGTTTTGCTCTCATGTCTAATAATCTTTCATAAAATTATATCCATCAGTTTTTCATTTTAAAAAGTCACTAAACTTGGTAGCTCGATTTGTCATAATTGAGTGTTGGTATTATTGGCATTTGCATACCATTTGAGTAACACTTCTTTGATTTTTAGGAAAGATTAGCAGAAGAAATTGAAAAGCTGAGATCTGAACTTGACCAATTGAAAATGAGAACTGGCTCTTTAATTGAACCCACAATATCAAGGTAACATTAAATTAAAAGCTTATCTACAGGTCACTAAAAATCAATATTAATTTCCTTATGGATATTATCTCCTCAAATAAAATAAAGAAGTACCTACTATTGCTCAGCCGTAATTGCCCTATTTTGACTCATTATCAATTAAGAGTTTTTACACTCAAAAAAAATTCTCTAATTTAGAATCCTTTCTGCAGATAGGCAATAAAAATGTAAAGTACTACCTTTAATATTCCACATTTAATTATATAAATAAAATATGTGTAAAGAACCTTAAATGAAGAAATGGAACTGTGTATAAGGAGTTACATCTCATTCCAGGAANAAATGTTTCAAGGAACTGAATCTACTCCTAGTCTAAAAGACAAAATGTGAGATTTTATATCACCAATACTGTCGATCCCACTACAGAATTTAGGAATGCAGTATTTTCAGCTGCATTGTTTCAAAAAATGGCTCCTGTACAGACTGCAGTTTCATTCACAATTATATATGATCACTGATAGTTGGCAGCTACCAGATCAGCAAGAGTTATGTGAGCTGGTTACCAATCCTAGAGTATAAACTAAGGGAGAGGCAAAAACCCAGGTGCACAAATTGTTTTGGAAGTTTGATTAAATGCCAATCACTACTTAAGCTAGACATTTTCCTCTTTTCCATGCAATAAGCCAAAATAGGAAAAATGTTTAATGAAATGTTTGGGTATTTTGATTAATTTACCCACTAGAAAGGCATAAGGTATGCTTTCTTCCCATTTACTCCAAATACATGGCTGCTATGCCAATTACTACACTCTTAGTTTAAATTTGAAAAGAATGCATTATTTTAAGTTAAGCTTTGTATTACTGTAAGATAATTATAAGAGATTTTACAACAGTGATACTTTTATGTCAAGTATTTAAAAAATATCTCTGATGCAGCTTGTTTCCACATGCCATGACATGTAACTTTAGTTTTTCAAATAGCTAAAATTTTATTTTTATTTCTCTAATAATTTAACCATCATAGAAATTGTTAATTTTGTGTCTGAAATAGAACTCCACAAATTGAACTTTTAAAAATATGATGTGATCATTTTTTGTTTCTTCAGATAATAAAAATCACTTCATCTGAATTCTTTATCAATAACACCTCTGAAATTTAGCTTATAAATCACTGTTTCTCATTTGAAGAGTAACCCAGTTATTTCGAGATTTCAAAAGGCTGAGAAGAGGCAAGCAGAAATAGCTTGAAAGATGATATTAATTCTATTTGTCAATTCAAGTGTTACAAAATAACATATCCCATTTAAATTATGTATTTCTCAAAATGTTAGGGTGTCATGTTCAAAGATTATGTTGAAACTTGGTTTCCCTGGAAACCAAGAAATAGATGTACCAAGGAAGAAATCAAAGAAGATTCTGGAGTGATGAAAGAAATGAGTCTACATATTTAATTATTTTCTGTTTAGTTTTTTAATTATTTGTTTTGTTTTGTTTGTTTTCCTCTCTGTAGAATGTTTTAATTCAAGAATCTGAAACTTTCAGAAAGAATCTGGAAGAATCTTTACATGATAAGGTATCATAAAAACTTACATTTTGCCCATTTTTCTGTTTTGTACTGGTGAATGTTTTATTGTAAAATAAATTTGATAAGAGATAATTTTAGGATTTTATTTTTTTAAAACAATTTAACTTTTATAATATATATGCAAAAAGTGTACATACATAGGGAGAGCTTGATGAATTTTTACAAACAAAACACACTAAAAATCAACATTATGGAAAACCTCCTCTGGTTAACATGCAATCACTACTTTTATACTTAAGGGTAATCACTATCTTGACTTCTTAGAAATAAAAAAAAATGCTTTTGACTTGTTTGTGCTTTGTATAAATGGAATTAAAATGTGTGCACTAATTTGTGTATAGTTTTAGATACTGTATTTTAGCAAAACTGTATTACATACCTAATGTGCATAAGAATTGTGCTAAGTTGTATATTTTTAAACATAGTCCTAGTTCCAAAATAGCTGAAAGATCTAGCTGAATAGAAAGAACACAACTTTGACAAAGCAATGAGTCTCAGAATAGCAGATGTCAAGTGTCACATGAGTGAAATAAGCAATAAGAACTACAGGTAGGAGAGGTTACTGTACATTAGTGCTTCAGGGGGGCTTCAGAGAGGTGGGAATTGACTAAACTTTAAGGAAAGGTAGGGCAGTGTTGCAAGCCTTTCAAATACAGTGCATGTAGTGTGACTGAGCTGCTCGAAATGTGGAAGGAATGAAAAGAGAGAAGGGAGAGAGGAAAAGGGGAAGAGGGAAGGAAGGAAAAGAAGATGGAAGGAAGAAAAAAAAGGAAGGAAGGAAGGAAGGGCAACAGTGCAACATATGTTAGGTACTGGAAAAGATAAAAGAATGAAGAAGAGTGAACAATTGTACATTCACCCCTGTTGAATGTTATATATTATGATGTTAATTATAAAAATAACTATTTTCTCCCGTAGTCAGTGTATACACAATCTCCTGAAAGATAGATCTACTAGAGCAATGCAATACAACCTTTAGAAATAGCACTGAATTCTCTTTGAAGTAGTTCAGAATGTCTACATGTGGGAAATGACATTTCATCAGGCTCTTGAAGGTAGATATGATCTTAAATAGAGAAGGGTAGGGCAGAGACAGAACCTATGCAATAGCACAGAGAAAGCAAAGATGCTTGATTTGCTGTATCACCAAAGTTTGCTGTGACTAGTGTGTTTGTAAAGAACTAGGTTTTGACCAGATTGTGAATTTTGGACTTGATCCTGTTATGCAATGTTATGTTATCCAAAATTTTGTGTTCCCTTGGCAAGATTCCTAGAACCCATTCCCCAAACACTTACCCAAGTCTTGTAGCATCAACAATCTGTCCAAGCAACCAGCAGTCCTAATCATTCCATGCTTCACATCCGTGTTCATGTGTCAGTTGCCAAAACAAGCAAATCCTAGGTCATACTTCATTTCTCAATATCATCTCATACAGCTAAACACATTTTCTAATCTAACCGTATTTCCTGCAACCCCTCAAGTTTCCACTCAATTGTCTATAACTTACAGTCCATTATCAGCAAAATCCCCTGTATACTCAACTTCTTCTTTCAATGTTTCTCTACATCATCGTGATCTCTAAAATTTGAAGTTCTTAGGACTGTCCTTGGATTTCTTCTCTACATTCAGTCCCTGGTGAACTCATGTGATCTCATGGGTTTNTCTTTTCAGGTATTGCATGACATATTTATATATAGCTCTATATTTGCATAAAGTTTAAGTTTCACTGTTTTAGAATAAACTTATAAAATGTAATAGAATATGATCTGGAGTTAAATTTTGTAGTCCTGACAGGATACTTTTGATGTTATAATTACTTAACTTGTAATTATGATTAAAATGTTGATGTAACTGTACATGTAATCTGTGCATAACATGCTAACACAATTCAGCTATCCGCAATGTCACATGCGCTAATCACTTTGTGTCTGTGGTAACCTGACAGTCACCTCGAAGACGTGTAACTAACCTTGGCACTGGGGAAACTAGCTCACAAAGGCAATACCTGCCTGTTCTATTTAGTTTGCTATTTTGTTTCCATAGCAACAAATCAATGCAGAAGCAATATTGGGCTGGTCATTAGTGTCATTTAGGGGAGTGCCCAAATAAGTTTTTTTGCCCGCACAAGCATTATTGTCACCTCAATAATTTGAGGACTTTGAATCACATTCATTTAAAATTTCAAATTAAGACTATACTTGAGAATAAATTCTAAGGTTCAAGACCTACAGCCATAATGTGTATTCAGAAAGCAGAGGTTGTTTTGTAAATTTGCTGCTGTTGCTGAGGAAACTCAATCCTGCTTGAATTGGAGAATACTAATAATTATTAACCCTGTGCCTTAGCCTTTTCTCTGATTTCTACAGAGTTGTGACTATAATAAATTTTATGCCAAATTTATTTCACCTGAGTTGTTGCCTTAGCGTAGTCCCCAACAATGAGGTACATTGTTCCATTATTTTAAAGTAATATGATAAACAAGCAAACCAAAATACAAAACTTTTATCAATTTGTCAAGGACATATTCTAGTGTTTGGTTTCTCATAATTCCAATTATTACATGATTCTTTCAGAGTTGCTTTAATTCATTCTGTAGTAGTCTTTCATTGCCAGCCATCACTAACCTTCCATCCCTTAGGTTGATAGCTTTTTATTTGAGCCTATCATTGTTTTTCAATTATAACCATCAACTGCATCATGTTCACCAGATATTGGTGTAGTTTTTTCCACATAAAATTCTGTCTGTTAAAGTATTAAATTTGCTGTCACACTTTTCTTTTAAGCATTCTGTGCTATGTTCTGTTCAGTGTCAGTGTCTTTAGTTCTGATTTTTCAATTTTGTCCCTCTCCTTTTCCTTGACTTGTTAGTCTGATCCAACCTCTTCTACCTCATCAGATGATTATCAATATGTTATGGAAGCTAAACTACAAGAAATGATCTCCATACGTAGGAAGGTAGTCCTACTGGACTTTACTTTCTATTGCTAAATAGACTCCATCTAAGTTTTTCTTTTCATTTATAAAAATTATGTTACTTTTATTTATTGATAATCGACCATCTGTGCAGTTCAGTGCTTCAGGAGCTTAAGATTGGACAATGGCAGGTTTGTGTTCAAACCATGCACAGTCTGCATGTTACATTTGGCTGATTTCATTGCTCATAAATAACTCCAATGTTTTGCTGATGCTTGGATGTAACAGGCCTTTGTAGCTGACACATTTCAAGCAATGCTGTTCAGCTGCCTGTTTAAAGAAAGTTTATGTTTTGAAAACTACATTTGCGGTTGGTAGTAGCTTGCTTTACATTTTATTTCAATTTATTTAGAGGCAATGCATTAATCAGATCTTACATGTCAGGTGCATTCTTCCTATTTCTTAACAGGCTGAAGAGAGACATGGAAACATTGAAGAGCGTATGCGACATCTAGAAGGTCAACTTGAAGAGAAAAATCAAGAACTTCAAAGAGTATGTATATTAAGAACTGCTCCCCTCAATTATGTTTACAGACTTATATTCTATATACAAGAAATGAATGTCTTTTTAAAAAAGTTTGTTAGATTTAACAGGGTGACATTGGTTAGTGAAATTATATAGGTTTCAAGTGTACAGTTCTATAACATATCACCTATACATGCATTGTGTGTTTACCACCCAGAGTCAGGGAAATGCAAATTAAAACCACCATGAGATAGTACCTCATACCTGTTAGAATGGCTATAATCAATCAGACAAGTTAATAACAAGTGTTGGAAAGACCGTGGAGAAAAATACATGTCTTTCTTGATTAGGGGTTACATATAAAATGTTATGGATAGGCCCTGAGCATTTTAAAGAAAAAAAAAGTTTCTAGCAATATAATAAAAACAGACATAAAATAAATCCAATTTTAAAACTAGAGAAAAATATAGAAACAAACTTAGNCATCAATGTCATTCTAAGTAAAAAACAAGAAAGTATGGAATCCCTCCCAAAGAAACACAATTTAGAATTCAGCAAGTAATTGCCCCAAATTAACCTCTGATGGACTAACAATAAAACATATTTTAAAATACAGTAATACTTTGGTTTGCGAGCATAAAAACTACTCATATTGCAAGACATCACTAGTTTACCACGTTATATGTTTGCTCGTCTTGCGGAACACTCACAAACCATGTTAGTCTCAATCCATTGTTTTACTGTATATTGGGTGAAAATGGGGAAGGGAGTAAGAAGCACAAATTGGCAGTTACAAAATAGTCACAGGGATGTAAAGTACAGCATAGGGAATATAGTCAATAATATTGTAATAACTATGCATGGTGTCAGATGGGGACTAGACTTATTGCAGTGATCATTTTGTAAGTTACATAAATGTCTCACCACTATGCTGAACACCTGAAACCAATATTGAATGTCAACTGCAATTGAAAAATAATAAAATAAAATATAATACTTTACTTTAAATATTCATAAGAAACCTTAATTTAGGATATTTTAAAAACTTGAAATAGGTGTCTCATCTTTTTTTACCTTTCACTTTAGTCTCTTGGGCTCTTATTTTAATACATGTATTCACTTTTGCACCCAAAATAATTTCTTCAGTTTACTCCTACCTAATAATATGTTACTAACATCCCACACTCTATGGACCCTTTTGATTTCTTCATTTTTCAGTAGATTTATTCTTCTTAAAAAGTGTTAAAAATGCTGGAATTTAGTCTGCTTCTCCTTTTTACTGCTTTCTCTTCTGGCTGGCTCTATATCAACATTAATCCAGATATACAGTTTTTATATTATTGCTTTATTTAATTCATTATACATGCTCCTCCACTGCTGAGATTCTTACCCCTCTGCTTGTAATATTTTATAACATTTGAAGATCACTCTTTCATTTGTTCTCCCAAGTTTTATGGCTACAATAATGTACTTTTTCTTGTTTTCTGTTCTCAAGACCTTTAGGAACCATCTCTAGAACCTGCTTTATTTATTTGTTGAATTTCAATTCGTTTTCAATATATCACTATTATTGATCATAATAGCCATTTTCTATTTCTTAATTTTTGACTATTCATTAAAGTAAAACGATTTCTGCTTAACTTAAACCTGGGCTCTCCACTTCTATATTTTGAATGGCATTCTTAACAATCCCTCAGACATTTTCTTTCTCTTATTATCAGATACCTATTTTTTTCTTCTCTTTGGGCCTCCTCTCTTTAATTTTAATTTCTTCCCCATTTCCAAATGTATTCATGCTTTTCCCAAAACCATTTTTGCCTGTGTAATTTCTTCTAAGACTTTAGCCCATTTGAAA